ACCAATGGCTTTAGGGCTATCCTTTCGATCTCCGAAGCTAAGGCACGGAGAACGGTCAAAATCAGTCCGAAACACAACAAGCGGCGGAACAGCTGATAGAGAGGCAAACTCACTTGTAGGTTGCCCACATTCATACACGGGTCCAGCTCAATGCAACAGCGGAGCTGAAAAGAACAGAGTAATTAGTCATGAAATTGTAGGGTGCCCACATTCATACACGGGTCCAGCTCAATGCAACAGCGGAGCTGAAAAGAACAGAGTAATTAGTCATGAAAACCACTGCTTGGTAGCATGAAGCACCCAACATTTCTAGTGCACAATAATGTATGCTGCAGTCACATAATGCAGCCAGTCATGTGAAGCGAGTGTTGGTAGCAAAAGCGCCGCATCAATCACATGAAGTAGGCTGACCATGGTGAGCATTAATAGCTTGCCATAAGAGATACTCTTACACGTGAACTCATTCACACAGTAGCTCAGCTCAGTGCATCTCAGTTGGGATGAGAAGAATAATGATTAGTTATGCAAATAGTGTTGGTAGCCTGAAGTGCCAAAAACCATGTTGCACGACAAATGTGTGTTGCAAAACTCCCCAGAGTCAGCTCATAGCACAGAGTCCACTATTAGTTCCAGCTCAAAACAGTAGTGGAGCTGAAAGAATAATAAATATTAGCCGGGCAGACTAGTGTTTGGTAGCATGAAGCGCCAAGACCATAATGCATGACAGCATCTGCTGCTCTTCTGATGAACACACGCGGTCCGGGGAAGAGAGCGAGAGAGAAGGGGATTAATTCCGTTCTCTCACTCTCTGGACACTCGGGTTCATCACCATCACCCCAAGCGTCGAGCTCGTGTGGCGCCTCGGCAACCGCAGAACTGGAACAGCGGGGGTTGAACGAACATCTCTCCTTCCTCAGAAAGAGAGTGAGCCCAGAGCGCTACTTACTCACAAACACAGATATCACGGATACAGCAATAGATAAAGGCCGCAAAGCGGTCTTCCTACCTGTTTCCTCGTGAGTCGTGTGTAACATGCATCCATACATACCGGAAAACTCATTGTGTCCGCCTTAGAGGAGTAAACTGCTCTATATAAATAGATGGCTTAGAACACAAGAATCTCTTTCCGACGGGCAACAGATGATTCGCTTCCTGAAGGAATTAAAATCTGATGAAATAGCACGCAGCACGCATATATGAGCATACGTGACGTATGCTCGGGGCAAGGCTAAGCGCTATTGGCCAATAAATTGGCGTGATGGTATAAGGGCTTCAGACATTCATCACACCGGAGATGTTCCCATAGCGATGACGTCATCGCAGCATTGAAGTGAACCTATGAGAGGGAACTAAAGTATTCAACTTCGCTACATTTATTTTTCAAGAAAAGTACAAAGTACAAAAAAAAGGACAAAGAAGGTTAATTCGCTGTCAAGGCAACCAGTATTGAGAACGCCCACTAGCAACCTCATCGCCAGCCCCTGGCAACATGCAGCGACAAAAGTCGAACGGGGCTTAAAGCGGTACTGAACTGCAGTGGAAACGCAACCCGTGCCGAGCCGAACCATGCCGTGCCGTACCGAGCCGAGTCGTACCACATATCGTTAATGTGAGCTATGCTCTGATTTTAAATCGTAATTTTGTCAGCTCCTGCAAGGGGTCATACCGTGGACATTACCAGAGCACACAGCAGTATAAGTAAATAGAAAACTCGGTTCATAGAAGGACGCGGTTATTGCATGGATGGAGCAAGAACAATGTAAGTGTCTAAAAATTAAAATCTGATGAAATAGCGCGCAGCACGCATATATGAGCATACGTGACGTAAGCTTGGGGCGGTGCTAAGCGCTATTGGCCAATAAATTGGCATGATGGTATAAGGGCTTCAGACATTCATCACACCGGAGATGTTCCCATAGCGATGACGTCATCGCAGCATTGAAGTGAACCTATGAGAGGGAACTAAAGTATTCAACTTCGCTACATTTATTTTTCAAGAAAAGTACAAAGTACAAAAAAAAGGACAAAGAAGGTGCCGATGGAGAAACAGAGCGAGCCGGCGTTTGAGGGCCACTTTTCAAACTGCTGGGCAGTGTTGCCAACTGCTTTCAATTGAAAGTAAGAGCTCATGCATTTTACGTGCATCTGGCTGATAGATCAACCATGATTTATCTGTCAATCAGATGCATTTAAAATCACTTTTTTTTTCTGTGTGTGTGCGCTTTGGATGTGTGAGCACATGGGCGAAGAAACAAGTCAGTGTATGACCAGACGATTTATTCATATCCAAAACGAGACGATGTGAACATTACTGAGCGCTGAACACTCTCATGCAGTGCATGTTTCATTCATACTCGAAGCCGGAGGGTGCTCAGTCGCACATAAAGTCCAAAACTCAATGTGTCAATTCACACTGTTTCACACTTTTCTTTTAAACCCTCACTTACCCTTCTTTGCTTTTGCCCTTCTTAAAAACAACCACATAATCTTATACGTGAATGTACTTTTCAAAATTAGTTATAAAACAGTTGCTCCTGGCAACAGGGATAGTATGTTTTCTTAACATAGAGACTAATACCATGTTTTGCTCCAAAATCACTATATAAATTCAGTCGTGTTTGAAACAGTTAGCTTCTGTTCAATGTTGCTTATCACATTGAGACAGAAAATATTGTTTTATAAAATTCTATACTGTGATACAAGCTATGTCAATTAGCATGTTTATTGTCTTCCACGTTTCATCAGTCAAAGCATCTCTATCTGCATGTTATGCAGCTGTAGTGATATCTGATGCATTTGTCCATATAAGGGATTTCCTGGGTCTCACTTGTGAAACAGACATCACAGTACATGAGTGTTAGGGTTAACCCTGCATAATGTTCACATCGTCTCATTTTGGGTAAAAATAGAAAATTAATACTGAAGTACTTTGTAACGCAGTAACTTGAGAAGTTTTTCAGCAAGCTACTTTTTTACCTACAATATAAGTGTCTAAAATGCATGCACACAATCGTAAAAGTGTAGTTTGCACAGATGCACATAAAAGTGTAGTTTGTCACAATAGCAATGGTGGACTTCAGGCACATTTTCGGTAGAGCGAAAAAAGAGCATTCGAAATTAGAAATCGATGAGAATCGGAATCGATAGGCAGAATCGGAATCAGAATCATTAAAATTCAAACGATGCCCAACCTTACCCATACCCCACAGTATTTTGTGCATCATTATTATTTTTTTTTACTGGCAGCTATCTATTCACACTGTTTTAATCCCTCATTTCATTGATCAAACCTCTCACTTACCCTTTCTTTGACCTTCTTAAAAAATTCACCTAATTTTACGTGGACTTACTTTTCAAAATTAGTTATAAAACAATTGCTTCTGGCTACAGGGATAGCTAGTGTGTTTGCTTAGCACAGCACCAAACATGACAATTTATGAAATGAATATTTGCTCCAAAATCACTATATAACATCAGATGTGTTTGAAATAACTTGCATCTGTGGTTCCATGTTGCTTCTTATCTCAGAATGAGATGGAAAATATATATTTTTTTAAAAGTTTTTTAACTAAAATTCTATACTGTGATTCAGGCTATGTCGATTAGCGTTGAATTATAAATATACATAATTCTTATGAAAATACCCAAAATGGCTTAAAGAACACAGATAAACACAGATATATCGCAACAATCGTGTGTTTATTGTCTTCATGTTTCATCAGTCAAAACGTCTCTATCTGCATGTTACTCAGCTGTAGTGATATCTGATGCATTTGTCCATATAAGGGATTTCCTGGAACGTCATAAGTTTAATACTTCTATGAGTCTCACTTGTGATATACCCCATAATGCTCACGTCGCTTCATTTTGGGCAAAAATAGAAACATAATACTAAAGTACTTTGTAACGCAGTAACTTGAGTAGTTTTTCAGCAAACTACTTTTTTAATCTTACTTAAGTTATATTATTTTTCAGTAGCCTACTTTTACTTGTACTCAACTAAATTATTTCTTAAGTAGCAATACTTTTACTTAAGTATAATTTTTTAGTACTCTTTCCACCACTATTACTGACAAAAACCTAATATGGCGTTTTGTTCTGTTTGATGAAATAAAACATTAAACATTATAACATTATAAATCAAATATATACATTTCTGCACCCTGAATTCAACAGCCCTTCAAAACCACAAATGTGTCAAGAGTACAGAGGCCTGTTGAGGAGCATCCATACACATTATCTTTTATTATTAGTATTATTAAATAAATCACTCTTCAAATCAATGCGACCTACATTGGCAATAGAGGAAACAAAGTTTTGATGAGAAAAAAAAATCAGGAAGAAAAAAACAGAAGCTACTCTAAAACCAATGAACAGCATGTAAGGCTAATAAAGCTTATACAAGTTCCACTTGAGTTGTGAGTTTAAATGATACTGTAAGTATATCTTTATTGAGAGCATTATTGGAATAATTTTTACATGTTTTTCCTCATGGTCACATGATCCAGAGGAACAAGCAAGCAAAAAGATATATGACTAGACCCTTAAAGTTCAGCAGCTGCTCATAACAGTTTGTTACAGTATAACTGGAACATTGAGAGGACAAAAAACCCTCATCATCAAATGGTTAAATAATGAGAAAATTGGGAAACTATACTGTATAACTATAACATCAATACATTCGCATTTCAATGATCTGTTAACACATTGAATCTAAATAAAAAGATGACATATATTACCACACAATGTGAGAGGCAAAGAGGACAATCGTTTGGTTTCTGTTTACAGGAAAAAGGTTAACCAGTAAAAATCCATAAAACAGTAACATCATAAAATCAATAGAAGCTGGGCACGCAACCCAGAACAAATGCCACCTTCATCCTGGACCAGGGAGTGGCTGTTTTCACTAATCTAATCCACACCTGTGTCTGACAGCTCATAGATGAGCCCTATATAAGAGCGGAGGAGGGCCACGGGCCACACTGTGAGCACCTGTTGGATTGGTCGCAGTTTGACATTGTATTCGAAGCAAATCTCATTCTCTGTGGCATCTTTTACCGTTTTCTCTCCATCATGAAGTGCCTGATCACACGATTCTGGATGTTGGCTCTGCTGGTCTCCCAGGCTCAGGTAAATACACATACATCCATCAATAACTTGTGTATTTTATATTCACACTCCATAATGTTGTCATCTTAATATAATATAATATAATAATAAATGTCCAAACCTTGGAAGGATTTAATAAGACCTGCTTTTAGAGGATTTATCTTGAATTATTTTTTATTTCTTGTTTTAACCAGAAATCTAACAAAATGTAGTGACATTTATGCTTAAAACAAGGGGGAAAAAACTCTTTGTCAGTGGACTAAGAAAAATCTGAAAAATGTTAAGAAAATTAAAAAAAAAGAAAATCTGTAGTTTTTCTGTTTTTCCAAGTAAAAAATGTCTACAAATCATACAAAAAGAAAACAAAAATATTTGACATGCTAAATTGTTTAAATAAGAATTGTTATCAGAAAATCTATCTATTATTTTTATTTATTTTATTTTTATTTCTTGTTTTAAGCACAAAAAAACCCTAACAAAACAGTGAAATTTATGCTTTAAACAATGGATTGAGTCAATGGACAGAGAAAAATAGACTTATTTTCTGCTTCTCAAGTGAATGTATCATGTTTTAAAGATATTCAGATGTTTTTACTGGATGACTGGAAAAATATTAAGGAAATTATTTCTCACTTTATATTTACAATAATTATACTACAATATTGAGAACGCCTCGTGGTACCATCACAGAGAGGCTCAAAATCACTTTCCAGAACATTCTCGTTCACCGTTCCTGGCTGGTGGAATGATCTTCCCACCCCTATCCGGAATGCTGAATCCCTGACAATTTTCAAGCGACAGCTGAAAACTCATCTCTTTAAACGCTACTTGACTTCATCTAAAAAAAAAAAATTTTTTTTTATACTTTATTTATTCCTTCCCTTTTCTAGCTTGTACTTATTTGAACAATGCCTAAAACTTGGCATTTCAAGCACTTCCTGTGTCTGTTTGCCTCTTTAAGAAGAATCGCTTTATGTATTCCCCAATTGTAAGTCGCTTTGGATAAAAGCGTCGGCAAAATGACTAAATGTAAATGTAAATGTAACAGTAATAGGGAAGGGGAAGTTTCACAGCAATGAAATCTGAGGAACAAACACTGTATTGTGGTTTATTTTTAACATCTAAAATTGGCATTAGTTAATAAGCTTTTCAATTGTTCCCTAGACTAATGCGACAGTGACGACCGGTGTGGCAACAACTGATGATACTTCAAATACAGCTTCAACTTTTCTGTCAACAATTGATGCAACTTTAGTTACAAGCACAGATCCAACCACTGTAGATTCTACAACTACAGCTCAACCCACTGTTCCAACAATTTATACTACTTCACCCATAATAACCAGAATAAATACTTCAGATACAACTCAACCCACTCTGACAACTTTGCAGGAAAGTGTGACAACTTCATCAGATCAGCCTACCACAATGTCTCCATCTTCAGAGCCCACCATGATTCAAACGACCGAATTTTCAAGCAACATGACTGATATGACCACAATGACAAATACCTCGATGGCAGCGAATGCCACCGTGACAACAGAAGGACAGACCTCAATTTGGACGACTACATCGTCCAGCGACTCACTGACAGTTACCGTCATCAGCTATACTCTATCCATCCTGCTGTACATGATGTTGAACTGAGCATTACCTGATTCAGCCCTGGGCTAAAGCTAAGCCTGACTGTTTTACAAAGAACTGTAGTACATAAATAATATATGAAGGTAAAGTATAGACTATATATATATATATATATATATATATATAACGAGTATATAAATGACTATTGAATGTTTGTTATAATTACACAAACTTAACTGCTCATGCTTAAATGCTTGAAATTAGAAATTAGCTTTGATAAAATATAAACTATCTCTATGCATGAATTTATGAAATTTGTTTGTTAATTACATTTTTTTTTCAATGAATGAGTTGGAGCAAGAAGTGCAGCCAACAAGACAGTGTCCATGAAATAATGTACATATAAAGTGGCTTCATTAGATGGCTTCATTCAAGTGCTTGATGCATCACAGATGTAGACTTCCTTAAAAATGCAACTAAGATTTGAAATGAAAAATGTATAGTTTAAAATAATGGCTGTAATAAAGAAAAAAATTGTATCTGTAGATTGTATGTGTTTTTCATAGTTAAGACTAGTGCACATTTTCATTGTAATGTGACGGTTAATGTATTTACGGTTTAGTAAGTGAGCTTTTTCTGGACTAAAATAGGTTAAGCAAAGTCAGTCATTTCCTTTTACTCAGTTTATGATCTCATAACATCGTGGGAAAATTTTATTTAAACCTTTGGCTAAGAATCAAACAAAAGCTACAATCTACAACAGGGGTGTCAAACTCAGTTCCTGGAGGGCCGGAACCCTGCAGAGTTTACATGCAACCCTAATTAAACACACCTGATCCAGCTAATCAAGTCCTTAAGGCTTATTTGAAAACTATGTTTTGTGTGTTGGAGCAGAGTTGGAATTAAACTCTGCAGGGCTATGGCCCTCCAGGAACTGAGTTTGACACCCCTGATCTACAAGATCAGAATGTCAAATAATCTAGTTGACTTAATGTTTCTGGGTCAGTAAGTTTACTAGTCTGATACTGAAGAGGAGGTGCATATGTATTTTTCTGCTCACAAAAATATGACGATCAAAAACAATTATATATA